TATTCCACAACTAATGGAGGCTAAAAACAAGAAAATAGGGAATTACAACTGAAAAAAAAAGTGTTCCTTTAGAAAAGTGATGAGAATGCACTTACATTGTCATCTGAAGTAGAACTTGCAGGTTGACTTGTCTCAGTAGTCACATTATGTCCATCGAAATCAGGTTCGCCTGGGCGGAAACTACTAGGCTGTGGATGCTCTGATGTGGGTGGAGGGGGCAGAGAAACCCTGCCTATAACCCCCAACCTAGTTTTTTTTTTTTTGTTTTGATTAGCAACAAAAAAGAGGAAATTTATTAAGGCACCAGGCCAAAAAGAAAAGAGGATAAGGCATCCTCTACAAGAAAGAAGAAAGAAGAAAACCAAAAAGAAAACAAACCAACATACAAAAAGACAACCAGCTACTCTAAACAACACAAACTGACACCCAATCTGAAGCAATCAAAAAAAGAGGAATCCCTCTAAACACTGGACTCGTCGAGGCCTAAAAAGATGCCAAGTATGTCACTCTATCCCATAAATATCTATATCCCGAGTTGCTCCTTCAAAGACACGCCCATTCCTTTCCAACCAAATGACCCAGAAAATTGCAAAGACTACATAACTCCACAACACTTGAGCTCTCTTCGACCTTCAAAAAACTTGAAAATCAAATAATAGCATTTAGGCAACGCTTTTTGAGGCCACCCACAGCACTTTGCCCAATCCAAACACCCACCCTGCCACCGAACAATGTAAAAATAGATGATCTTAGATCTAGAGATTCTCCGCTTTTACAACACATAATGCACCAGTGAGGATTAAGATACTGCCAAGGTCTTCTCTATTGCAATGAATCATTTGTCAAAGTGCTCCCATGAACCAAGATCCACATGAACACTTTCACCTTAAGAGGAGCACATGCCTTCCAAATTTTTTTATGGAATAGAAACTGAGGTACATGCGAAGTATCAATTATTTGATCCAAGAAAGATTTACAAGTAAAAGAGCCCAACGAATGAATATTCCAAACCCACCTATCCTCCAAAATTGGAGACAAATAAACATTTTCAAACTTTGACAATAGAAATACCAATTCCAAAAAGTTTCGGAGGAAATTAAAATTCCAAGAAAAAGGAGCCAACGAAGAACCAGCCACGGATGCAACAAAACAATTATGAGACTGAGAAACTCTATACAATTGTGGATATATAGGACACAGCAAAGGACAAAGAACCCACCCAAACATCCTCCCAAAATATGGCCATTTCCCCATTTCCCACCATCATAGAAATGAGTCGGGACCACACTGGATAAATCTAAGAAATTGACTTCCACGGAGCACGCCCTTTATCCCTAGAGACCACTTGAGAATCCCTACCATTAACATGCATCCCATATTTACTTTTGATAACTGCATGCCGTAATGAACCGCACTCAATTGGGAATCTCCATAACCATTTGCCTAGCAAAACCATGTTTCTAGCCACTATATAACCAACAGCCAAACCCCTCTTCTCCTTTGGTAAGGACACCATTTCCCATTTCACCAAATGATCCTCCCTTTGTTCATCCTTCCTTTCCCAAAGAAAATCCCTCATCAGCTTTTCTATAGATTTGGCTACCTTGACCGGAATCTTGAACAAATGAAATAAATAGAAATTCCACTTAGCACTGTCTTGACCAAAGTGTACCGACCCCCATGGGAAAGTAAAGCCCTACTCCACCCTTTTAGCCTCTTACCTATCTTTTCCATAACTGGGTTCCAAAACACATCACCTCTTGGGTTACCTCCCAAAGGAAGACCCAAATATTTCATTGGAAATGTCTCTATACTGCACCCAATTAACTCAGCCACTCTCTGAATCAGGTTTGAATCAGCATTAATACCAACTACCCTACTATTTTCTAAATTTACCCTAAGACCTAAGAGAATCCCAAAAAACTTTGCCACCGAAAAGAGGTTAACCATTTGGCGCTCGTCCCCCTTAGAGAAGAACATAATACCATCCGCAAATTGCAAATGCAACACACTAATCCTATCTCTACCAACTATATGCCTTCAAACAGACCTACCTCTTTCGCCCTATCCACCATCCTACCTAACACATCCACTACCATAATGAATAGAAAATAAGATAAAGGATCTCCCTGTCTCAACCCACGCGATGCCTTAAAACACTTCCCTTGTTTACCATTGACTATCATCGACATATTGTAAGACGCCATACATCCCCTAATCCAGGATCCCCATCTCGCACCATACCCTTTCTTGTCCATCACAAAATTCAAAAAGTGTCAATCTACATGATCATACGCTTTCTCAAAATCTGCCTCAAACACAAGGCCTACCTTTCCTGACTTCCGACACTCCTCTACCACCTCATTTGCCACTAGAACCACAACTAGAATCTGTCTACCTTGCACAAAAGCCCCCAACCTAGTGACGACTTCAGAACTACTTACGACGTTCACTTTAATCCTATATACAAGTTTTTACAAATTTTATAAGAAAAAAAATAAATAAATAAACCAAACAATATCACTCAGCTTTAGTTTTAAATTTTCAAAAACAATTTTTGAGTTTTTTTAATATTGTTGTCTTTAGTAAAAAAAATCATATTTTAATAAATTTTTAACTTTTTAGATGCATCTAATTTAAATATACTTAAAAAGTAAAATATTTGTGAAAAAATCAATAAATACAAAAAATATGAAAATGTATTGAATTTTTATATTTAATGATTTTTTAAAAGCTTTTTCACAATTATTTTACTTTTTAAGTATATATAGATTAAGTACATCTAAAAATTACAAAAAAAATATTAAAAAAATCACTAGAGACAAAAAAATAAAAATAAAAAGTTCTAAAATTTTAACCAAACAGAATAATTTAAATTGCTCAAACGGTGAATTTCTAACGGATGTGTATCTTATTTGGTGGGATCCCTTAATTTTTTAATGAGATCAAACTATATTAAATAAAATTAAGAATTTTTGATTAGTTGATGGGGCGATGGGACCTTATCACACTCGACATGGAGTCGCCCCTGCCCACTAGGACAACTAATTGAACAATGTAACATAAATAAATAAATTATACAAAATTTGGCCTTGGACATAAAAGCCAAATCCTCAACTCTAATGTAGAGAATTCTAATCGTTACCGCGGTTTAAGATTTAATGTTGATTTATATTGTGACGGGATTCCCCTCAAGGCCGCTATAGCAAATGCTGCTTCTTTCCTAGATATGTCCATATTCTTTGACATAATATCTGTAAAATTTACAAACTAAAAAGAAAAACATAGAATTAGAGCAAATAAGACAAACAGACAAGATGAACCTCAATTTTCTGCTATACTCGTACTAATACTTGCCTGGAATTTGAAAGAGTCGTGAACAGGAACGTCATTAAGAAAGTTCTCCATCATGTCCCATGGTCCATCTCCAACCCCAACTACAATTGACAATGGATATTCTCTACAAATAAACAAGCACATTTGAAAATGTTTTGGCATTTGAAGTGTTTTGGCAATAGAGCTATCACAAAGGAAACTTACAACCTGCAACTTACCTTGCTTTCACAATAGCGTCAATAGTTTTCTTTATCTGCGGGCTTTGGAACAAAAGGCTTGCATTTGCTGTCACCTATGACAACCAGCAATTAATAGGACCTTGAGAGTCTAAAGTTGAAATGTGATCAACAAAGCGAGATCAAGAACTTGATATTTGGAATATATACTGAGAGGGTAATTTTTGGGAAAAATTGGGCCGAGCTGCGAGTTGGGCTTTGAGGTCCAAAAACGTGAAGGACCTCAAGGCCGCTATAGTAAATGCTGCTTCTTTCCTAGATATGTCCATATTCTTTGACATAATTTCTGTAAAATTCACAAACTAAAAAAGAAAAACATGGAATTAGAGCAAATAAATAAACAAGAAGCACATTTGAAAATGTTTTGGCATTTGAAGTGTTTTGGCAATAGAGCTATCACAAAGGAAACTTACAACCTGCAACTTACCTTGCTTTCACAATAGCGTCAATAGTTTTCTTTATCTGCGGGCTTTGGAACAAAAGGCTTGCATTTGCTGTCACTTATGACAACCAGCAATTAATAGGACCTTGAGAGTCTAAAGTTGAAATGTGATCAACAAAGCGAGATAGAGAACTTGATATTTGGAATATATACTGAGAGGGTAATTTTTGGGAAAAATTGGGCCGAGCTGCGAGTTGGGCTTTGAGGTCCAAAAACGTGAAGGACTAAGTAAAAAGGCCGTAATGGTTACTCCGGCCCAGGAGAGCAAGGTTACTCCGGCCTAGGAGAGACAAAGTTACTCCGGCCCAGGGAGGTGAGATTACTTCGGCTCATAAATGGTGTAAAGCTATTCCGGTCGGGATACAGCTTGATGTTAGTCCGGCCTTACGACTAGTTCATACTAGAGTTAGTCCGGTCTCAAAGTTAGTCCGGTCACAGTGTATTGTTGTTAGATCGGTCAGAACTTGCTACTTGGACGCTTGTTCTAAACACACTATGGTTGAACAGGAGAAAGCCGAGGTAAGAAACAGGAGAAAACCGAGCTAAGGATAGTTCGGCCTTCTCTGTGGCTCAGCCTAGCCAGTGTTATTTCGGTCATGTGGAAGTTCGGCCAAAGGGAAAACCATCCCACTTGGTTTAAGCAGTGGGGGAGGGTGTAAAAGGATAAGCATTATCCTTAGGAGTATGAATCCTAAGAGGACTCTGCATGGAGAAATACAAGTCCTACTAGGACTGTGCCACGGGAAACTTATAAAAGCCCACAAACATCACCTTGGAGGAGGTAATTGAACATAATTCTTTCTGAGAGCATAAAACTTTGTCTATTTGTCAAGCTTACTGACTTAGGCATCGGAGAGGTTTCCGGCACACACCCGCCGGCTAGCTCACGTTTGTGTTTTCAGGTAACAAAGCGACGTCGTACGGAGGAGCGTGGACTTAGTCAACAGGATTATACGAGGAGAATTATTTCCTCCCCGTACATATACCTTGAATTTCGTTTACCTATTGCCACGAAATAAACTTTACTTACACACAATACCATTAGGCACATTATTAGGCAGAAGTGGCAGTTTTTGGCTTCATATGTGCCATTTTCAATGTAAGTTATGGCACATCAGCCAATTAGAACAAACCAACCTTACACAAAATATCATATTAAACTAAAAAATCCAGAACAAAAATAGATACCGGTCCATCTGCTATTATTACTAAAACATGGTATCGGCATTCACTTTGCTCAACAATAGTGATTGCCATTTCAATGATGGGAGCAAATGATGTTGGCCCTGCCACATAAAAGAAGCAAAAATATCAAAAGCTGCAAGATACAACTAGCATAAGAACAATAAAGGAAGTGCATGAAACAAATTTCAACCGGAAAGTTTTAGGTGAGGGACTAATTCTCTGTAACGTGTCAGCACTTCCTCAAATCTATTGCAGAGTCTTTTATCTGGATAGAAACTAAAGATGTCTCGGTCAAGCGTTGAAGCTGCCAACATTGAATAAACATATGATTACCATTATTTGGAAAATATACTAAATGCTAAATTAAAGGTTTTCTTCATTAGAAAATACCATCTCCAAATCCAAAACAAGGAATTAAGTTATTGTCGTGAAAGCCAGATAATGTTCTTCCAATAATTGATATTGCTTGTTCATAAGGGTTTTGTTCATCACCAATATGATGCAAGCTTCTCCCCTGAAATGACTTTACACCTAATACCAGGTATCAACACAACTTTAGCACGTAGCAGTGTTACTAAAAAAACTTACATACTAAGATGAGATCAAACCTGCCCACTTATTGGTCCCAGTGAAATCAATGCCAACAATAAGATTTCCAGTTTCTAGGCCACTATGTGCCAAGGCTCTCGTAACCTATTAGAAAAGAAGTATATTTGGTTGGGTTATTATTTTTAAGATAATTTTTCACATGGGATCACCCATGTAGGTAAAAGCACCATCAATAAGTGAGAATTTATCTCAAATTTGTGCCAATCACATATACACACATCACAACAATATGCAATATTTAATGTGTAATCAATTAATAAAATAAGGTAAAACCAAGTATTGTGCTTTGCAAACAAATTCAAGCATATGCACTATTTAGCCAGGCCATACAGATAAATCCATTTGTTATGACATACATTTTGATACATAAATCAATATTGCAATATAGTATATACATACCTAATGTCAGTTCTCTGTGGCAATCATTGAAACACCCGGTACATTTAAATCTAAAATCCATTCATAAATAGAGAAGCATTTACCAAGATAACATTACTAATAACAGGAGTTCCATAACCAATGCCTTCCAACCTCAATACTCATGAGATCAAACACAAAATTTAAAATCAATGAAAAACACTGATATCTAGGTTCCATGCAGGATAAGGAGTAGCACATTGCAATATAGTATACCCAATGTTCTGATTTCCACATTATTGGCAATCGTCTTGCCCTTTTATTACTACTCAAATAAGTAAAAATATTATGTTACCTCATCTATGTTGTTGAGATTGTTCTCAGACTTTCTTTCTGACTCTGAAGGTACATAGACTACCTTTGGTTGAGCAGTATAGCCATATGTCGTTCTTGCCCTTTTGGAACTTATGCAACCCATGGCCTTTATTAGTCACAATGGCTCTGCAGCATCCAACAAATGTGACTTCTTCTAGTTATACATAGATTAAATATTACTAAAATTAAAAAACGCATCTAAACGATTTTTTTTATCTTTTATTTATTTAAAAAAAAAAACACACACACACACAAACATGTTGGTATCACCCCATGTGAAGGGGGTGATTCTCTCCAATGTGAAGTCGGCTGCGTATGTCCTCGATTGCGGCTGCCAACCGACAAGCCGCCACGGTTGATGATCCACCTTTGTTGAATGACTAGCTGGCCATGTGCAAGGCCAGCCAGCTCTCTCCCTTCTGGGTGTATAAATAGAGGTAGAGAAAGCAGAGGGAAATGTGGTGAGTGGTGAGCTTAAGAGTGAGAGTGATTACAGAAAGAGAATACAGAGTGTTGTAATTCTTTGTTCCATATAGTAAATCCGCTGCCCGTGGACGTAAGCGACTTGCTGAACCACATTAAATCTCTTGTGTTATTGCTTGTGTGTGTTTCCTGGTGTGCCCCTGATCCACAGCAATTGGTATCAGAGCTCGGGTGGTGAAAAATCGAATTTTTTCCAAAAGTGCCCAGATTTCGAAGTGCTTGAAATCCACTTTTGAGCATACCAGAAGCAAGGTCTCAACGAGAGGAGTCCAAAACTGCAAAGCAGAGCTCCAAAAGAGCTCACATGCACCCGCACGCGCCCCCCAAAGAAAGCGCGTAAGCCACACGTGCCTTCATGCGCCGAACAGCAGACGGCGCGTCAGTTCAGACGCACGCACGCGCCTCACGCGCAGCGTAAGGAAGAAGAAGACCGCGTGGCGCCACGTCAGTGCTGCGTCAGTGCCACGGCATCGCCACGTAGCAGACAGACAGACACGTGGCAGACACGTCATCAGGGTTGACCAAGCCGCTGACCGAGTCGACGCTGAGCCGCTGAGCCACGCCGTTGACCAGAGCCGCGCCATTTCCAAGCCGCGTTGACCGGTGCATTGACTGAGCCGTTGACTCAGCCGAGGCGGGGAAATCATCCGGTGCTTCGTAAGCGCACCAGATTCCGCAGATCTGAACCGTGTAAACTGTTTTGGCCTAAACTAAGTCATTCGGAGTTTGTTTTTGACGATCCAATAGTGCTTTCCAACTATTTGGAGTATTCCGGACACATCCGTATGGTTAGTTTTTTGAATCAGAGTTTCTAAAAAAAAAAAGGTTAATGGCAGAATTTACAGAGACCAGATCAACCGAGTCCATAAGTAATCCAACGACTACAAGCAACTCTAGGCATTGGACCCCAGTGTCCCATGCTAACTTCGAGGTAGAAAAGTTTGATGGAAGCAGCAACTTCGGCATGTGGAGATGCGAAGTTAAAGATATGTTTGTCTAGATGAACCGGCACTTCACTCTGGGAGACAAACCAGATGACCTGGACGGGATAGAATGGGAGAAAGTGAATCTCCTGGCCTGCAGTTCCATCCGACTTTGCCTTACAAAAGAGGAGAAATATGCCTTCACAGAATATGATATTGCGAAGGAGCTTTAGAAGGCGCTGGAAGATAAGTTCATGACAAAGAGCATTGAGAACCGACTCTACTTGAAGAAGAGGTTGTTTCATTTCGACTACAAGAAAGGTATTTTGATGAACGAACACCTAAACAATTTCAACAAAATTCTCACCGATTTGAAGAACTTGGATGATCATATTGGTGATGAAGATAAAGCACTGTTATTGTTGAATTCCTTGCCTGACTCATATGATCATCTCACTACCACTTTACTGTATGGTAAAGAAAAGATCAAGTATGTTGATGTTGCAAATGCCTTGGTAAATAATGAGTTCAGAAGGAAAGATAAATCTGCAAACAGGGACTCAGCATCCGAGGCATTGACAGTCAGAGGCAGAACAAATAACAGGAGATATACAGGGCGAGAAAAGTCTCGCTCAAAATCTAGAGAGAAGTCATTGGATAGAAGACGTCTTGCAAAAGACGAGTGTGCTGCTTGTCGCCAGAAGGGGCATTGGGAAAAAGATTGCCCAATCAAAACAAGAAAGAAGAAAAGGTGAACGTTGCACGAGATGGAGATAATGGTGAAGGATCAGCCTTCACAGTTTCATCATATGGCCAGTCTGATGAATGGACTATAGATTCCGGATGTTCCTACCACATGTGTCCGAACAAGCAGTGGTTCTCGAGCTTACGAGAGTTCGATAGAGGAGTTATGCTGATGGGCAACGACCAAGCTTGCTAGACAAAGGGAATTGGAACAATTCAACTGAAGATACATGATGGAACAATCAGAATTCTTGAAGATGTTCGGTATGTACCAGCTTTGACAAAGAATCTCATCTTAGTGGAAGTTTTAGACTCCAAAGGTTACATAGTAACTATGGAAGGTGGAGTCCTCAAAGTTGTTCGAGGAACGATGGGCAATGACCAAGCTTGCCAGACAAAGGGGATTGGAACAATTCAACTGAAGATACATGATGGAACAATCAGAATTCTTGAAGATGTTCGGTATGTACCAGCTTTGACAAAGAATCTCATCTTAGTGGGAGTTTTAGACTCCAAAGGTTACATAGTAACTATGGAAGGTAGAGTCCTCAAAGTTGTTCGAGGAACATTTGTTGCAATGAAAGGTACTCGACAGGGAAATTTATATTTCCTAGACAGCTCTATAGTCACAGGGAGAGTGGCTGTCTCCACCAGCTTAGAAGATGATGTATCAGACATTTCCAGACTTTGGCACATGCGCCTAGGGTATATCGGTGAGAAGCTTTTACAAGGATTGGTAAAGCAAGGCCTGTTGAAAGGCGCCAAAACAGGAAAGCTTGAGTTCTGCGAGCATTGTGTACTGGGCAAGCAAACGAGAATCAAGTTTGGTACTGCTATTCATCGTACCAAAGGGATTCTAGACTACGTTCACACTGACGTATGGGGTCCTTCCAAGAATGCTTCATTAAGAGGTAAACACTACTTTGTGTTGTTCATTGATGATTTCTCAAGAAGAGTTTGGATTTACATAATGAAGCACAAAGACGAAGTCTTAGATATCTTTCTTGTGTGGAAGAAAATGATTGAGACCCAGATAGGCAGAAAGATCAAGAAGCTTAGATCTAACAATGGTGGGGAATACACATCAGATCCCTTCTTAGAGGTGTGCCAGAATGCAGGGATAATGAGACATTTCACAGTTCCTGGAACACTGCAGCAAAATGGAGTTGCAGAACGCATGAACTGCACTTTGGTGGAGAAAGTCCGGTGTATGCTGTCACATCCAGGATTGAGCAAGGCATTTTGGGGCGAGGCATTGAACTATGCTCGTCATCTTGTCAACAGACTACCTACTGCAGCACTAGATGGCAAGACTCCCATGGAGGTATGGTCAGGAGTGTCAGCTACTGATTATGATCAGCTACGTATCTTTGGATGTCCAGCTTATTTTCATGTTACAGAATCTAAGTTGGATCCAAGAGCCAAGAAAGCCATCTTCTTGGGCTTCAGTGACGGTGTCAAGGGATACAGACTCTGGTGCCCTGAATCAAAGAAAGTTGTCACTAGAAGAGACATTACCTTTGATGAGTCTACAATGCTGAAGCAACCAAATCCTCATGAAAATGATGAAGCATTAAAGAAGTCAATGCAGGTGGAGTTTGAGACTCCAGCGAAGACTGTTCAGACAGACAACAATCCTGAAGAAGTTTTAGTTGACAGCTCTGAAGAAGATTTTAAAGAGAGTTCAGATGAAAATGAAGATCCAGAGGCCCCACAACAGTCAGAACCCATTGCAAGTAGAAAAGGAAAAAGGGTTACTAAGCAACCCAGTTGGATGACCGATATGATAGCCTATACACTTCCAATCATTGAAGACAATGTTCCTTGCACTTTCAAAGAAGTCGTGTAGCATGCAAAAAGTGTCAATTGGAAGGAGGCTATGGATGAAGAGATCGGGTCACTTCACAAGAACCGGACTTGGAAGTTGGTGCAACTTCCAAAAGGCAAGAAAGCAATTGGGTGTAAGTAGGTTTACACCAAGAAAGAATGCATCCCAGGCAAAGACAACATCATATTCAAAGCTAGATTGGTAGCTAAAGGCTATGCTCAGAAGGAAGGAATAGACTACAATGAGGTATTCTCACCTGTTGTGAAGCACACGTCTATTCGTATCTTGTTAGCTTTGGTTGCACAGTTTGATCTCGAGCTCACCCAACTCGATGTCAAAACTGCCTTTTTACATGGAGATCTTGAAGATGAGATGTCCCAGCCAAATGGTTTCAAAGTTGTTGGAAAAGAGAATTGGGCTTGTAAGCTGAACAAATCGTTGTACGGATTGAAGCAATCCCCGAGACAGTGGTGCAAAAGATTTGATCGGTTCATGATAGAGAAAGAATACACAAGAAGTCAATTTGATCATTGTGTATATTTCCGTAAGCTTCCAGATGGTTCCTTTATCTATTTGCTCTTATATGTGGATGATATATTAATTGCATCTAAGAGCAAGGTGGAGATTGACAAACTCAAGGCACAGTTGGCAAGAGAGTTTGAAATGAAGGATTTGGGAGAAGCAAAGAAAATTCTTGGCATGGAGATCAAGAGAGACAGGAAGAAGGGCACGGTTTGTCTGACACAAACCCAGTATCTAAAAAAGGTGTTAGACAGATTTGGCATAAATAGGAAAACAAAAGCTGTGAGTACACCATTGGCCTCTCATTTCAAGCTCAGTGCTTCGATGTCTCCGCGCACAGAAGAGGAACGAAAGCATATGGCACAGGTTCCATATGCAAATGCAGTTGGTGCATTAATGTATGCTATGGTTTGTACAATGCCTGACATCTCGCATGCTGTGAGTATGGTAAGCAGGTATATGCATGATCCAGGAAAAGATCACTGGCAGGCAGTGAAATGGATCCTAAGGTACATACATGGCACGGTTAATCTGGGATTGAAGTTCGAGAGAGATAACTGACTCGGACAGAATCTGGTTGGATATATGGACTCAGATTATGCTGGTGACCTGGACAAACGCCGATC